CTTGGGGGGTGGGGAACATCTTCCCTGATCCTTTCGCTGCGTTGAGACCCTTCATAGCCCTGTGACAATTCTGCCCGCTTTTCCTTACCGCGCTGTGCCGTGCCCTTGTTTCCCCCCCTTCTGAACCGCGTAGGGTGACACTCCTGGCTGGCCTCTTATTTTTAAGAGAAAAAGAACTGGGTTTGTGAAATGGGTAAACCCAGGGTGGCATCCCCAATGCACTGTCCAAGTCAAGATTGTTGTTCTCTGTTTTAGAGCCGCGCTTCCCCTTTCTCTCTTTGGGATGGAGATTTCATCCCATCAGTCTCATCTCCTGGAGCAACTCAATGAGCAGCGCAAGCAAGACCTGTTCTGTGACTGCAATATCCTGGTTGAGGGGCAGGTTTTCAAAGCACATCGAAATGTGCTGTTTGCCAGTAGTGGCTATTTCAAAATGCTCCTTTCCCAGAGCTCAAAGGACACTAGTCAGCCAACAACTGCTTCTTTCGAAGTTTTCTCTCCTGAGACATTTGTGGTTATTCTGGACTTTGTGTATTCAGGCAAACTGTCTCTCACTGGTCAAAATGTGATTGAAGTCATGTCAGCAGCGAGCTATCTGCAGATGACAGATATTCTTAATGTGTGTAAAACGTTCATTAAATCCTCACTGGACATTAATGAAAAGGAGAAGGATCATTATTTCACCCTCTCAGCCAAAAGCCTTAATAGCGGATCTGACCGTCCGTCGTTTTATCGGTCGCGAAGGAAAGCCAAAAGCAACCCCCGACGTTCTCACATCATCCCAGATGAAAAGGCAGGAATGGATAATGAAAATTCCTGGAGTAATTACAACAGTTGCCCTTCTCCACAAATGAATATCCAACAGCCAGAAGGACCAATAACCAAAAGAATTCAAAAGCTCGGCTCAATGAAAAGGCGCAGAAAGCATCTACGGCTGAACCAGGGATTTGTGCAGTACAAATCAAACAAACCTGAGCAGAGCAGTGGAAGTTATGGGGCATTGGAGTCTAACCACATTTCTCAACACAGAGAGGAAATTTACCTCAACACAGAAAATGAGGAGGCTGGTCCTGACTATCAGTGTGAGCGAGAATCGGAGGTGATACCCAAGAGGTGGTCTGTGGCTCAGGTAGAACAAGAACTTTCAAGAACTTCCCCTGAGTTAATGGATTTAAAAGCAGATGAATTGTATACCTCTATGCCTACAATTTTAGGTGTAATGGGTGGTTGGAATGAAGGTAAGGAAAGATGTACTTTTGAAGGGGTTTTTTCCCCCCGGGGGGTGGGGGGGGGGTGTTGTCTTCAGACTTTTTCAGGTGTCTTTGGGTACTGGGTTTCTGCAAATCCGCAAGAAAGACAAGATGATGTCTAAATGCCCTAGCTTCCAGCTGTGTCCTTTTTGTTGTGTATAAAAGTCCTAAGAGAATAATGAGACAGCAATCTAGTAAATGGGGCATTACAGCATGAATCGGAAAGCTTGAACAAGAGCTGCAGTTGGTATGGCTTCAGCGGAGCTGTAACTGCTCACACCACCTGCCCTCTTTTACTCTGGTTTTTATCCTTGGCTCTGTCATTAATCTCAGCCCAGGTCTCTTCACTTGGATCTTTCTCCTGTCTATTTAAAGAGAGACTTCATTTTCTTGTTTGTGTTCCTATAGCACAATGAGGTCTAATATCATTTGGAACCTTTTGGGTGGTATAGAAATATCAAGAATAATTGATTCATTTTAGGCCAGGGATTGTCAATTTACAGCCTGTCTGCTCAGTCCAGCCTGCAGAGAGACTGGAATCCTGCTTGGTAAATCGGTAGCAGTTCCAGCCACAGAAGCAGAGGAGGTGTCCCCAGACTCCTAGGGCCTGCCTGCGTTTTTCTCTCTGGTCTCTTCTTAGCGCCTGCTGATCACTGGGGAAATGCGAGGACAGGGTCGCAAGCAGCTGCTGGCACTGACAAAAGGTTGCCAACCCCTGATCTAGGCTACCACTTTAGCACAGACACTCATTCTTCTGTATGGGTGTAAGCTCATTGATTTATGGTACTGCTTGGTACCATAGTGGTACTAAGTGTTTGCAAAATCCTGGCTTTAGTTTAAGGAAACTTATCACATGGAATCCAAAGTACAAATAATAGCAAATATACGGAGGAAGTGATGTTACAAAATTATGGTAAGTAACTCTAAAATGTAAATATGCTGTTGATGACCTGGACTGTGTAAAATGAAATATTTAATAAACTTAAGTGAATGATGCATGGTTTTATTTCAGGAATACACCTACATATGTAATGCATATTGCAGATATAGTTAAAATTACCTGCAGAATCTACTGTGGTTTTAAGAAATCTGACTGCAAAAACAAGTGGAACAAACTGTGGAAGGTTCAAAATTCCTCTTCCTTGAGTCAGACTGTGCAAGATGTCTTAGCAGTAAAATCACTAATAAAAAGTGCAGACAAGGAGCATACAGCTATATGTTGATATAAATGACATTGAAAATATTCGAATATGCTATGTGTTTCAAACTGCTTCATGATCATTACCTATCTATTTGATATTTTTAAGGAAAGCAAAAGAAACATTTAAAATCAGAGCACATTAATTGCTGTGGCTGTAAGACATCTGTGGCAGTTTTAAATGTGCTTTCCTTTGAGTCTGTCATGTCTAAAACCTCCATGGTATAGTTCAGTAGTAGCATTGTCAGGAGGAACAATGAGACTTGATTCTTGGGTTCAGTCTATAGTCTCATGATTTGGCATGAATCACAAATACTTCGCAAGAAGTGCCAAGCTAGTCTTTACTACCTGCTTCTGTTGTGGATGTCAGACAACTAAACAGAAAAAAAGGCAACCACCCTGCTCCACAAATCAAGCACAGTTCTTTCTATCAGTGTTAGAGGCTCAATCACATTGCCCATCGAGAATCTTATTAATCCTTTAAATATCTGGTTAGCTTTGAATCCAACTGTAACTGTGGAAACTCAGTCCTCTTTACTGAACAGATATTTGTTGAGAATATAACTTTGAGACGCTTATATCTCTGTCACTTTCAATAGGTAAGTTTGAGCATAAAATTAGGACTGGGAAAAAAGGACCAGTAAGGAAACATGCCTGTTAAGAGAGTCTAGACTAATCTCTTTATTATACACAGTCACTGTAGAAACAGGGAAGAGATGGTGAGGCACTGTAGGGTGTATGGCCCTTTAGTATGAAATTAGTGAATATTGGGTATATTAAGAGTGTGTATTTTGTGTTTATTTTTATATTTTTAAGATGCCTTTGGCAGTCAACCATAGTGTCACTTTGGATGAAAGTTATAGTAAGGTGCTTCTTTGGCCATTATCAAGTGATGGAGCATGTGGAACAGCAGTGCTATTTGGAAACAGGGAAAGCCATGGGTGAAGTGCAGTTGTGGGGACTCTTAAGTCCTCAGTTCCTGTGGCAGTTAGGAAGGGAGAGAAAAAGATGGTGCCAATTTTGTAGAGAGACTGTTAAATAAATAACTTTTTTTTCTATTAATTTGATGTTAAAACCCTTAGGAGGTTGGGTTAAGGAGACCAGCATCTTGGCCATGGTTCAAGAAGATTAATATTTTTAGTGACGAATCAACAAAAAAGAAGGTACAGTCATGCTCAGACTGTGTCCAACTTAAGGTGCAGGTCTCCCTTTCCAAAGCAATGTCTTTTTAAGTTTCTCCATGTAGTATGTAACTCCTGGGATAGGTTTCTGATAACCGTAGTTTAAGTGCAGCAGAGCTAACAGTCCATTGGTGAATCAACTTTGTGAGCCAACTAATTCCTAGCTACAATATCTTTTGAAATACAGATACTGACTGATTGTTCTTGGCAACTTCTGTTTGAATACAGAATGTGAATCTGAGGCATTGCAGGATTTCCTGACCGCTGGGCTAACTGTATTTGGTTACTGGATCACCTTGCATATCTTGTCATCTTTTGCAATTTTTTTTGGACTGGGATTGGAAGTTAGGCAATGGGTATATAATGGATGAACCATTACAACCTGCACTTAATATTGGGGCAGATATCTTTTGTTGGGATGAGAGACATATCTGGATGGGCTTTCTATCCTATACGATAAATGGGGCCAAAAATATTCCAAAAAGCTATAAGGAAGAATCTTGTTCCACTGACAGATTTCTCTTCTGATGGGCTGGCATGACACTAGGATGTGTTTGTCCTCCACTACTGATGAGGTTAACTTCAGGTACCAGCTTCTGTTTCTCAGGCTGCCATAGTTTGCAAATGATTTACAAAAACAGGAAATGAAAGGAACTTGGGGAACTACATCATAAAGTGTGTGCATGTCTATGAGAGAAGCAAGGAAAAAGTTCAGTATGTCCACAACAGCATCTTCAAAATCTACAACAGTACAGGTTTAAAAGATTGTCTATATATCATCTAAAAAAGGCTATGTCAGCTCAACATCTGGCCTGAGTCTCTCCTACTGCTTACTGGTCATATCTACACGTGACTGGAAGGCAGTGTCCTGTCAAGCTGGGACAGCTCTCCCTGCCCCCTGTCGTGCCTTGCTGCCTAAGCTGAACAGGAGCTATTTGTTCCTGGTCAGTGTCTACACATGTGCTTTGGTGCATGAGTTTAATGTGCCGATTTCTAGTACCTGTATCTACAGGTACTAGGAGATGGTGCATTAGACCAATCTACTGCGCAGTAATTGCTGCACACATGTAGATGGTGATGCTTTATTGCACATTAGTCTAATGCTCTATAAAGTGTCTCCTGTAGATGCACCTACTGTTTTGCAGACAAGACTGATCAGACTAAGGATGGGCTGTTTTGCTTCTGTGATGACAGCAAGATTTTTCTGGGAGCGGGAAGGAGGAGGAGAAAGGGACTCATATTCTCTGCTAGAGTTTCAGGAAGTTGTGCTCCCTGAATTACTAGAATTGTTCAGCTTGTTCCACAACTTGTGCTTTGAATTCGATCCCCTTCCTGGCTTGTAAAGATTGTCTGTGCCTTTCTTAGAAAGTAAATATTATTTTGATGAAAGTACTTGTCTGGTTGCTCAAGAAGACATTTCTTGATAAACTCAATCTTGCTCGTTATCGGTCAGAATTAGATCTTATTTCTCAAGAGTGTAGAGAAGGCTGTATTGTCACAGTCCTCACAGTATCTTGATGGCTTGACCACAGTTCATAGGTTTGACTATGAAACAAACTCCATTAGCCTCACTCCCAGATGCCTGGGGAAGAAAATATTTGAAGATCCAAACTTTAAAAAATTACATTCACTGTTATTGTGGCAACAGATTTAAACTAGGCAACTTCTAGTGGTACTGAACCTATTGGAGGCCTTCAGTAGAGTTTATACAAGATATCGTTGATTTGCTTTAGAATGTTCACAGAAGTGAATAGAGCTGTTCTTTAATGGGGTTTTTTCCTTCTCTCTCGTCCTCTCTTCAATCTTAAAAACCAATTATGGGCAGTTATTAAGATTCTTGAAGAGTTTCTGAATATGGGAAGCCACTATTCAATGTGTGTATGATACTGTTGAGAGTAGGTATGCAGTATTTCAGTGTATTGATGACACCCAACAATGTATTGTTCTGTTTGATTTGGATGATGCAGCTCATCAGTTGAGTATTTAACTGAGATTGGGACATGAATTGACTGAAACATAACCCATACAAGAGTGATGTGATAGTTGGCTGGGGAAAACAGCTGAACAGGATAGAAGTTATACCAGTCTCTTTGAAGAAGTTCATTTGCCAAAAGTTGTAAGCATTTACAACTTAATAGTGATTTTTGTCTTTGACTCCTAGCTTCTGTTTTTTATCATTAAATAGTAATCCAGTGAGCTTTTTGCCACCTGCATATGACTAGGAGACTACAGCCTTTTTTCTTGGATGTAAACCCAGCTGCAACTGTTTAGTCTTGAGATAATGAGCATAGCCTATTACATTGTACTCTGAGGAATATCTACCTTTTAAAACCAGTCGAAGACTGAAGTCAGTGCAGAATCCAGCAGCTTGCATTTTGAGCATGCCATTTTTTGGCAGGTTGTAACAGTCCTCAAGGATCTACACTGGCTGCCCATATGTCTCTACCCAGAGACAAAGGTGTTGGCTGTACCCTACTAGGTGCCAAAATGCCTTGGGAAACTGTCTGTGTTAGCAATGTACTCTTTATTACCATGCTGTTATAGTTCTAGCTCAAATGCCTCTGCTAGCTAAATCTCTCATAGTTACAAAAGTGATGTCAGATAGCAGGGGTGTAGGTTGTAGCTGTGTTGGTCTAGGCTTCTTTACTATTCATTCTATCCAGAAAGAGCACACACCAACTGCAGAAACTTCCTCAGCCTGACGAAGGGTTTTTAAACTCGAAAGCTTGCTACATTTTTTTTTCTAACTACTTAAGTTAATCTAATAAAAGATATCGGATTCAGCCAAAAAACCTTGTCTAAGCGAAGGCTCCAAGCTTTAGCCCTTGCTCCCCTGATTCTTTAGTCCAAAAGAGACTTCTGGGTTTCTCCAAAAATGCTGTCAGATAATTGTTGCTGAATCGCCAGAGGGTGTTTCCTACATGACAACCAGGATAGATGGCAGCCTGTCCGCTTACAGGAGTGGGTATGGCAATGTGGCTGAAGTACCATTATCACACAAAAAAAAACAAATTGTAAGTTGCTTCAGTTCTTGAATAGGTAGGTTTTTTAATATATTAAATATCTACCTGGATTCTAAATATTATCAGGAGAAAGGGTCATATATGTAAGTGTATGGCTATGATGTATAAATGTAAGGCACTTTATATATCGCAAAGCACGGAGTCAATCTGGGTAGGAAATAAAGTACTACCAAATGCATATTTCATGCATTCAGTTGGGAAATCTGTGTGATAGGAGATGGTTAAGAAGTTTGTGGTTGTATTCTGGATTTAGCTTTTCTTATAATCTCAGGCATTTAAGCAAACTGCTTCTTTACATTTTAACAACAAAACTTCTGTACAGGGAATGGACTATTAATATTTTCATATTAATAGGGTTTTCTCTGTAACAGATCTACCTAGGATGAGATTCATGTGCCCCTTCTGCACACACACAGTGAAACGGAGAGCAGACCTGAAGCGTCATCTTCGATGTCACACAGGGGAGCGACCTTATCCATGTGAGGCATGCGGGAAAAGGTTCACCAGACTAGAGCACCTCCGTAGCCATTTCCAAACAGTATGTCATTTGAATAGAGTGGCTTTCTTAGAAAATAAATTGATGTTGATGGAAGCAGTATTATATATAGGACCATCCCAAGATTCACTTTTCACTATTCTAAAGTAGAAAATGATTTAATAGTCTCCTCCATTAGGAATCAGACTAAAAGTCTCTCACAAAACCAGCCATCGAATTGCCAGTTAAAATTGGAATATATGTTGGTTCCAAAATGACTACCACAAAAGCCATGTTTTGCATATGCCAGAGGACAAATTCCCCTTTTAAGGTTAAAGGTTGAGGTGCATTGCGCTTTGAAAGAACTTGCATCAGAACTGTGTCTGTTCTGTGCATAAATAAAAAATGTTAGTCTTCACTGAAGACTATTTTGAAACTTGAAGTCACAATTTAAAAATAACATATTAAGATAATACAGTATTTAAGACAACTAAGGTTGTTGTAATTATGGCTTTAAAATTGGTCTTAAATGACAGACTAAGGCAAATTGAGAACAAATAAGGCACAGGCAGAAAGAAAAAAAGTGATGGCAAAAACTAGCTGTAAATCCACCTGTGTTTGGAAGCCTGGTTGTAGACAAGTATGAAGGACATAAAGAATAGCACAGTTTCTCCATGTCTTTCTTAGCATCCTGTTGTTTGTGTCTGTGTTCCAGGAGTTCACAGGCTTGTGTTTCAGCGTGCTAAATCAGTGTCATGGTCTCTAGGTGAATAGACAGGTGGGAGTAGCACAGAAGCATTCTATTCTGTCTTAAAGAGGTGTGGCTTTTATTACAGCATCCCTCTGGCAAGGAAAAGTGAAAGAAGTTCCTTATCATCAGCAGTGCTTTCAATTGTGAATAACTGAGGAGGGTTCTGAAACTAAAAGATGAAGATTAAACAAAGCTACTTAACTGTGTTCAATATATGGTACTTGTAATAAATTTATTTAACAAGTCTTTGTAGACCAGTGCTTCTCTTTTGTGTAGAAGTCCCTTGTTTACAATTCCTTGACTTTCATGTTTAGAAACACTTAATGTCTTAAACTGAAAAAAATATTATTTCAAATGTTTCTTTCTTAGACACTAAAAAGCTTCTAATTCTGCTCTTGGACTGAGATGATTTTTCTATTTTAATGTTTTTAGATACATCGAGCTGGCAAACTGATCTGCAGAAAGTGTAAGCAGCATGTCACTGACCTAACAGGACGTGTGGTTCAACAAGGAACACGGCGCTACAGGCTATGTAATGAGTGTCTAGCTGAAGCTGGCATGGACAATATCCCTAATGATGATACAGATTCAGAACATCCCCTCCTAATCTCCATAAGAAACAAAAATTCCAGGTGGCCATTAGAGGAAGAACACAGATCAGATGTAGAGATATTGAAGGATGAATCTGATAAATTGGTTAACCAGCAAGTTAACAATGATAGTGCAGATGAGGCAGAAGAAAAAGTGAAATCAAATATTAGATAGCTGTATTTATAGACGTATTAGTGCTGAACGCAACACTGACTTGCTATATCTTGCCAATTAACTTTAGACCATGGTCAACTTAGTTTATAATTACTAGATCTCTAACACTACTTAAATCTATGGGAGCAAGAAAGGCCTACAATCTAACTGACATATTGTAGTATAAGTATTGTCCAGAAGTGACTGGTTATCTGGAGAGCTATTAAAAGGATTTATTTTATATTTAATCAAGGCCAGTTCAAAGTTCCTGCTTTCAAGTGTGTAAGACCCATTTTCCCTTCCCTATTTCAAAGTCCCTTTTTGTGTTTAGAAAAAGGGGTTTTGGATTTTTTTTTAAGTTTCAGTATTATAAAGGTGTTTATTCATCTAGTTTTAATGTTTACCTGTTTACAAGGAAAGTAAAATAATGTATAGCTTCAAAGCAAAAACCTGTTATTGAGTAATTTGCTCTGAAAAACAGTAAGTTACTAAAGCTAGCAGCTAAGAAATTTTCTTTAGATGCTATATTTAACCTATACATTCACTTATGAAACACTTACATTTTTTTACTTGTAATAAATTTTTTAAAACTGGAATTCTTCTAATCTGTTCAGACGGCTTTCCCCTCCCTCTGTGAAAACATAATACTTTAAAAATAATTACAAAAAAAACACAACCTAAGGAATAAATATACCCCTATAAAGTATAGTATGGATGGTGTAAGCCTGCACCTTCAAATGCAGTTTAGAATATTAGGATTTTTCAGCTGAGACTCACTTGACATGGCTGTTATGAAATAAGAGTACTGGCACTGAAGTTCACTAAAAATGCAATCTGTATGAAGATTCTCTCTGCACACATTTAATATATTCAGGATTCCTCCACATAAGATAGTCAGGAACAGCGTTAGAATGCAGATGAAGATTTAAATCCTGTGGGAAATACTCAAATGGCTCTAAGACTTAGGAACATAAGTTCTACTGATTTGTGACCAAACCTTATAGAAGTTTCTCCTCCTGTCTATAGGCCTCAGTATGCAAGGTGTTCAGAGGCTGCTGAGCACTCAAACATGGTTTTATTTTTAGTTTAGAACAGAGAGAGAAGGCTTAATAATATACACAGTTTGAAATAAGATATGTTAACTAACGTCACTTTTTAGAAATGTAAATATTTCCTCACACTTCAAGAATCTTGCGCATTGCACCAGGTGCATAGCAGTGCGGTATTGAGCCCTTCACACAGCTCAAGCAAACTTTCTTGTTTGTGGATCTTTTTAATCGTTACAAACCATGCTTCATGGCTCTCCCCCCCCCCCAACTATATGGAAGCCTTTCTGTTCCAGAGACACTGATAAGTCTTAGTAACTGTGGCAATCTTTCAAAGAGAAAGCCAGGCACTGAAGACTAGCAGTGGAATATGGGATGAACTAAAGCAGGATAACGCAAAAGTTTATTGAGGACTTCTTGCAAAGATATACTTTTCAATGGAGGGCCACTGCTAGTGGGAATAGCTCTCATAAGATGTAAGCTCTCAGTGTAGTTGTAAGCTGGAAAGCAAATTACACATAAAGGCAAAAATGGCCACTCAGTGGGTGCATCTGTATGTGCACTTTACTGCAGAGTTGACTAATTGGCTCTGAAGTTAAGTGTCACAGTCTACATATGCATCAATATTAGAACGCACTAAGCTAATTACCGTTCGTCAGGGATGGTACTGTCTTACAGTGGAGTACTTTACTGCATTGAAACGTGTAGACACTGACTGGGCATGTTAATTGTGCCCAGTCAGCCCAGCCAGCCAGGGCCCTGTGCCACGCTGGTTCAAACTGCTGTTGTCCTGTGTAGATGCTGTGCCTAGGAGCAGCCGACTCCAACACGAATGGCTGTGGAGTTTATCATGTCACATTAATTGCATGTTTAGATGTACCCAGTGAGGACAGGATTCATTGTTTTGCTTTTCAATTCTTTTTCCATGTAATAAAAAATGATATAATAAAAGAATCATGCTAAGCCCCACAGTTTGCTCTGGGGGCTCCATGTTACAGGCCCCTGGCACATAGGATATGTAGTAGGTGTTCTTGGAAGGACGTTTGCAGACATCCGCTATAAACATACACCTATGTATCTGCCCTGTCAGTAAATACTTAGAACAGGAGGTATTTACCAGGGTGCTGCATTGCTCACAGCAGCATATTCATTTATTTAATCATTTAATGCTCATGTCTCCCATGCTCCAATAATTTCCAGGAGCCTTTCAAAAAAACCCAAACATTTGAAATGCCTGCAAGTCTTTGCACGAAGGCACCAGTGATGACGGTTTGCCCCAGGAGCCGATGCGGCCTTTAAAAACGAAGATCCTTCCTATGTTTGCAAGCAATCTAATTTGAACAAGACGGAGATCCCAGTTCCTCGTTAGCAGGAGAGAGGCCAGGTAGTACCTATTTTCACATTTTCAAGCAAGGTGGGAACAGAACAATTGCCAGGGCCGCGAGCTTTGGGTTCACATTTACCGATTTGAGGTCACATTTACCTTTCCAGAGGATGGTCCTGTGCGTCTGACTGCCCCTCCATCTGCACCTAGGGGAAAAAAACCAAAACAAAACATGTTACCTTGTAGATTTTTCTTGCGGGATTTCATAAATAATGGTAATGTGCTGACTTCCACCCCGCCGCCCCCACTCCCGAAGAGCTGCCCTGGGGTTGAAGGACCAACACCAACGACACGGGGCCAGAAGAAATACCTCAGACGTCGCTCGCTGCTCTTCCTCCTCATCTCGCCGACAACCCTGCTGGTCCTGCAGCAAGCTCTCCGGCAAAGGCTTCCTGATAGAGACCCCCAACTTCATCTCCGGTCGTTGTGGCATGGCCTGGACCTTCCCCGCTGGCTCCTCAGGCTGCCCCACTCTTCCTCGCTGGCCCTTTTTACACAGCACCCCATGGCTCCCCACTCCTTGCACGCTTCAAAGTGGAGGCCCCTCTAGCTCCTTAAGCTAAAACAAAACCTACACCCCTGCAACATGGAAGATATCGAATTCAGCCCTTTGAGATGGAAACTTAAATCCCCCCCCCCCCAAGTATTTAAGTTGTTCTAATAAAAGATAGAAACCCAAAAACCTTGTCAGCCTACGTCCTGAGACCAACACGGCTACAACCTACATCCCTTAATCAGTTTAAACACACCTCAGGGGTCATCTCCCCCACCCCGCCCGTGTTTGCCCCCCTCAGGCTGTCCTGCTCTCCTGACAGGAACAAAACTCGAGGCACCATTGGTCTGAACAGTCACCTGACTCCGTCAGCCAATGGGATGTTAGCTGAGGGAACCGCTTTCCCGCCAATGGCCTGAGTGACAGCCACACGGCCCAATAGAACCCCTCTCAGCCCCTCTGGCTCCAGTGGGCGGGGCCTGCCTGGGCTCCTTTCATCTCCTCAGAGCCTCCTACCCGTTGCAAGGGTAGCACTACACTCCTGTGGGAAGAGCACAACTCCCAACCGTGTTGGCCACATACGCTCCTTCCCACACCAAACCCAGCCAATCTGTCGCACGCCATCTTTGTCCCCCCAGTTTAAGTAACCTCTCCCATCTCTGAGGCGGAAGGCAACACAGAGGATGCGTTGCTTGAGGGACGAATGCACTGGGCGGTAAGCCCATTTGCAACCCCTTCCCACTGACCACCCGTAAGGCAGCACTTTGAACTCGATCCCTAAAACACAGCCTGTCGCTAGAGCGGCGCCAAGATTCGACTAGACCGGCTGGACCTTCACAATAGAGTTGGACAGAAGTAACTGGTTTCAGCAAAAATCAAACAGAGGGTACCATAAAAAGGGGAAGATGTTAAAATAAGCTACTTAAATGAACCCGCTCTTTCTTCACTCCGTTGCTTTCTGAAAAATAAAAATGAAGGACGATCGAGCGCGACTACTCAGTGTAGGATAGACTTGCTTCTTCAGACACTTGGGCTGGATTTCAGGCATGCAATGCTAAGACAGGTTGGAAACCCCCAAACCGTACTCACTCCTTTCTGGGACTATTCGGCAGGTCATTCCTTCTCCTTAAAGTGCCTTCTTTTTACAAACTATGATCTTAAATTACCATTTTGAGGGATATTCATTGCCCTGCGTGGAGCAGTAATGAGAACAGCGAGAGCCCCTCACAATACATCTGTACACTGCTTTGAAAAGAAACATTAATTCTCATTTATACCAAAGACGAATAGAACAATAATAACGGGCAAGTGCTCAATCCTGTGCAAAATTAGGTACAAATGCAACTTTACTCATCCTAAACATCCACTCTCCAAAAACTAGTCACACATTCACAAACAATTCCTTAGAAATGCAGATTTTCAGTTGCAATTTTGTTTTTCCTTAAAAGAGACTTGTTTGTTCACCTCCCTCGGTTTTTGCCTATCCCACCCAACACCAAACCTGAAAACAAAGGATTTGTCTTCTCATTACTGGGGGCAGGGAGAAGCAAAAATAACCAACTGAAAAATCCTAAGTGGAGACAAAGCACTTACAATGTTTGGTGCAAACCAACAAGGAGACATCATCATATGAATAGTTTAGTGCACAGTGGAACTAGAGTGCCGTGTCTCCATTTTTCTTATGATTTCAAATAAGGGATAGCCAGTGAATATTAGTTTGGAGGGGCTGGGTAGGGGACACACTTCTTTTTTTTTTTTTATTCCAGGAGTGAGTGGATAGTGGAAATGCCAGTGGAGGAAAGTTCAAGTATTTAAGGAAAGGCAAGGGAACTTTCCTCAGCAATTGCACACCAGGGTCTAAGAAGAGTGTGCTGTGTAATCCAGCGAAAAAAAAGTACTATGTAAACATCATGTGTAGCCTCCTATGCTGCTTGGGAGGTTGATATTATGCTTTCTAAAGGAGAATACTAAAGCAGCCAATTTATATAGACTTGTATACATTAAAATAGAACAGAATTTTCCTTTTTATTGCAAGAGACCATTGTCCTGAAACTGCAGATGATTTTGGTAGATGCCTTTCTACACCAGCAGTGAAATCCAGCCTTCACTTTTTTGGAAGAATGAAAGGAATAATTAATACTCCAGTCACATGGATACTGCTTTATTAGGTCAGAATATCAGTTAACACTATATGGAGATTTAGCACCACCTGGTGGCATCTTTTCTAATATCATTTAGATATTTTTGAAGGTGTTTGCTGCTTTAAAATCGTCACAATGCGCTTATCATTTTCCTAAAAAGACCTCAGGTGGCAGAGATCTTAAAGGCATTAAATAATGCAAAATAACAATGTCACCTCAGACTGAGTAAATTAAAATGCGCACCAATGAAGCACAACAAGGAGAGAGGTAGCTCCTTCAGAATAAAGGCAAAGAAAATGTGTACATCAAGTCTTCTCTGTCTTCTGCCAGCTTGCAACAAGATAATATTTTGACTAATAAAGATAAGAAGTAATTAATCTCTTACTGATCACCCATGTTCATCAGGACACAGTACCAATGCTAATTTAAAAATCAATGCACAACAGCAGTGCTAGTGAGAATTTTAATTCCTTATGCTGCTCTTGCAAGTTTGAGATGTGCAAGCTTCTTAAAACTAGCTCCTTGTCTAGATATCTAATTCCCAGACTCGTCTGCCATTCCTCAAAGTCAAGACACATCTGGATATTTCTTAATTCCCCTGACTCATCCAGTAAAATAATATTAACAGTACAATTCAGCAATTTTAGCCAATTGCTTAATTATTTCTGCGGGGGTAGCAGAGTTTGTGGGACCTTTGCTGGCTAAGAATGATTTTGAGGCATTTCAGCAGCATTTTCTTCTTTTTTAGATATCAATGATGACAAAAACTTCTGGATTTTGGTCTTCATGGATCTGCATTGCAGAGTAAGTTATTGCCTTGACTTCAGTACCCTGGATGAAACAAGCACAGAAAGATGGATTTTGTAAGTCATAAGCCCTAATAGCCACTCCATATGAACGCACACACACACTATTCTTTGGCTCCCTGGGCATGGCAAGTTAGAGAATCCTTCTCCCTGAAGCATAGCTGTACTGTATTTGTTTTGATTAGTACAAAGAACGGGACATCACCAAGCAATCGCTCACCTAGACACCAGAACTGCCCAACAGCAAAACAAATAGTTTCTCCGTTCTTCACTACCACTCACTGCAGGGCATCAAACGTCTCTCCTAGCTAACGAAGACCACTATAATTTGCTTCTCTTGGGTTAAAGCAACCATCACAGACTGTTAGCAAAAAGGGGAGGGTGGGAAAGTAGAAGTGGAATGTAATAAAACAAATTATATTAGTTTATTACTAATTTTTGATAAAACTCACAGCCCAATGACTAGTTCTAGTGTACACAAACCAAACTCATGAAAACATCCCGTCTTGGGACTGAACTGGCATGTCACTGGTGTCAGAAAAAAGAGCCAAAGTTGTGACCCATTTCAGCCACTACTTGAGTAATCATACAGATGGTATTCCTAACATTGTTGACTAATAGTCCCATTCACAAACAGCAGCTAGCAAGCAAGGGCTTTGGTATCAGAGGTAACAGAGTTGTACAAGCAGAAAAGTTTAAAATTGGATCTCCGAATAAACTTAGTGGTCTAGTTAAAAGAGAAAAGCCCATATTTTACCCATGAAAATGTAAATCATAAAAATCATTTGGTACATACCTGAGGATGTTTGGGTAGAGAGAACTCTTCCCCCCACCTTATGTGAGAAAAGAAAAGAAACGGTTGAAATTTTGGTTTAATTCAGCAAATATTACTATTGGCTTCATTAGTACACATAAAAACCTGGAATTCCAGCTTTAAGTACTGGAGAAGGAAACAGGAAGTCTCCAAGCACTTCATGGTAAATGCCACACAGCTTTAGCCCATCATAGTAATTGTCATCAGTTGTCCATTCAAAATGGGGACTACTAATATAGTGTGGGGATAGCCACTCCCACAAGGAGTTAAACCATTTCTGGCAAAGATACTTAGTATTTGCAACATGCTTTTTAAATGTTAAGCCTTGTGTCCCATCATCTAGGCTCCTTAGCAAACTATTTAAAAAGTGAGCTAAATGAATTCAACATCACTTCTTCAAATCATAGACCATACAAGGCCTCAGAGACGCAGAAAAAAAAATTGAAGAGACACTAATTTGCCTTTCATAAGTAACTTTTGGAAATCCTGGGATTATTAATTTTGTTTCCTATCTGCTTCCAGGTTTTTGAAAGTGACTGGTTGAAATGTATTGGGATAGATAATATTTACATCTTGATTTTGCAAACATGAAATGATTTTTCTCCATGATAGCTTTTTTTCTCTATCAGCCCTTTCGTAGCATCTGATAAAGTAGATTGTTGTCTACAAGAGCTCACACCTCTCTGAACCAGTTACTTTTTAAGGTGTCATTGTACCCTACCTTCCACATGACAGCTTCTGTGGTAGATACTAACATTTATATGAGGATAACAAGCAGATATTATAACTTGCCTAGGTTTAAAGTGGGCGCTGGTGGAAGAGTCAACTACAAACTTGGCTGTTCCCCTAAGTAAGCTATACTGCTTTTAAATCTGTGTGCACACATTTGAGTTTTGCTTTTAACCAGAATGTTCTGCTTACTCACCCAATGGATCTTATTTTGAAACTCATTCGGTCGATGGAGAGCACTTTCACCTCCTGCAGAGAAAGTAACAGGAAAAAATGGCCACAAAGAGCATCTCTCATATAGTTATGCCATATGACAACTCCCTGTAATATTCCCATGCAAAGTTAAATATTCATATTGCCATCATTAGAGACACAAGAAGAGTTCAATCAGCCTCAGAGATACGCTGATGTTTAGATGTGCAGAGAACTGCAATTACAACATAACCAAAGCCATAACGGGTTTGAAAACAACAAAATTGAGAGTTTACTCCTCCTTCAACTCATGCTTGTGCCCACAATTTCCTATGCATTGGTAGGCCTAAGCAGACCTGTTGGTTCCAATGTTTTTGCCCCAAGAATGATAAATTGGGGCAAGTGTTGGCAGTGAATATGCCTGCCCCATATGCTGGAAAAAAATACATACCCTGGGTATGAAGAACTGGTCAGCACTGAATTTATACAGCCATTCATTCAAGAAGTTATAAAGAAGAGACAGCATGTCATGTCCTGTAGGACAGAAACAGCAAAAGAAACTCAGTTGGGTGCCCTGTTCAGAATTTTGCAAACCTCCTTTTTGTGTGCATCAGGGCAGAAGTTCAGTTTCCCTGCTTATTATGTACTTGCATATTCAGATTTGGAAAGAATAAGTTAGTTTAATAAACTTGTGCCAATACTACATAAAATAAGCCAGCTATTTCTGACTGAAAGGCAAAGTTAATTTCAACAGTATTCTCTTTCAAAGTTTGCACAGTGCCTTCTTACCTTCTACCTGCACTTCTATAGTATCCAAGGGCTCCACGGTCTCTGTATCTGTCATGTAGCCAAACATGGCCATAGCACACTGCTCAAATGCTTCTTCCAAAGTATCTCCCCAGGCATGTAACCTACAGAGACGTAAGAGTTACACCATCATACAGCAGCAACAAAGAAAGAGGAGAAAATACAAGTAAGGAATTGGAGTACCATAGAAATACGAGTAGGAAAAGCAGCAAACACAGAGAAATGTGGGTCTTTCAGTGCCTTTAAGCAGGGACATTTGTCTACGGTAAGTGCTGAAACACTGAAAGACAACGGAGTTTCTTTTGGAGGAACAACATGGAAAAATATTGAGTATTTTACTAAAAACCATGGATATCTAAACAGGTACTGTTGGAACTTATGTACGTGGAACATTTGGAAATAAGAGGCAGCAGAATTACGAAACGAATACAGCATCTTTAAATGTGGCATCCACAGGCTCAAAAGGGATATATTTGCACCCTATTCTCCTGTCACATTAGATTTTGTCAGTTACTCCCGATTGACAAGTATTGAAAAGAATCAGGCTTATAGAGAAATTCTACTCAAATTCCAGCTGTAAATACTCACTGAACATCAGCCGTGTGATCCAGATCTGAAGGATTAGGAGAAAAAAAGAAAGAGTTATGGAATTGTCAAAGTTGTTTAGAAAAACAACACATGACTACTTGCAAGAAAATTCAGGTCCTGTTTTTATCATGAGAATATTTTGTGCATGTTTTGACACATCTGACCTCATATTAATAATGTTAATCTGACCTTTAGCTAAATATGCTATAAAAGGATCAATATGATATCAGCACATAGTAGGTACCACAATAGGTTTTAAAAGAAAACCACCAAGAAAAACAACCCCTCCATAATAAACCCATCACCTTGTTTCCAGAAAAAGTACCCCCAATATATATGCATTTCATACCATTCCTCGATAGATGAAAATGTTATAGAGCTTTCCCAAACTATACAGGCCATGTGGAATAAACTTAAAAAGACAGAATTTGAACCCAAAACTCTTGTTTCAATTTTCTTCTCCTTGAAGTTGGTAACCTTCCCCCGCCCCCCATATTGTAATCAGTCTCACATCAATGTCCACTTAAAATGCCAGAAAAGCATTTTAGATAATCTGTTTTATGGAGCAGCTCACAGAAATTTAGTTTCTCAAGGAACTTTTGACCTGACTTCCCTTGTAGGGATAAAAGGACAGATGGTGTAATAGGCCTGGCTTTACACTGTATCCCTAATATTGGTAGAATACCCTAAAACTCATCCAACTTGTGTTACTGGGGTTAAGCCGGATATGAAAACCAGTCATTAATTCAAAATGAGTTGCATGCTTATGGGAACAAGCTGTGCAGTGTCAGTGGAAACCAGTATTCTGCAGAATTACTGCCAGATACAGTTGTGCCACAAAAGTGCATAATACCGGGAGCTGCAGTGCTGAGCACTTGTTGTCTGCCCTTCAACCAGCAGGAGTTGAGGGGACTCAGTAACGCACAGGATCAGACCCTACCATACCTCCCTCCTTATAACAGCTCCACACTATGGCATTATACTTAAGTTTTAAAACAAAATAAGCATTGGTACTTTGTTCTGAACTGACTGGCTAATAAATCAGTGGTGGCAGATGTGATTTGCATAATTAACCAGCTCTTGGATTATAGTTTCTCCAATGAATATTATGTTTTCTTAGTATGGTATCATCATTACCCCCTACTGCAAGTCAGTTTTGAGTGATAATACCCCTTTTCATTTCACCCAGCAAGATTTGCTTCTTTCTCTTTTCAGGCTTTCAAAATAAACTTCCAGTTGCAAAGTCAGGAGTCACTAACTATTTATGGCAACCTGCCTGGAGGTGCTGAACACACAGGGACTTCTTTAGGACCCATCGCACAAAGCTAAATGATCTCCGTTAAGATAACAAATTAAGACGCATCAATAAGCCTCCCCTACCCACTTAGAGACGAGAGCCCAGGGCACAGTGTGAAGCACAAGTTTTACACGTGCTTAGGTCTATACCTCCCCTCCCAGCCACAGCCACAGCCATGCCATGGGGATACTCACACTCATACTTCTTATTGAGCGGGGGGTACTTGGCTTTGATGGCCTTCTGCTCCTGGTTCAGGTTGTAATCCCGGAAATCATCAGCCATCGCTGTCAGCCCTGCAACACCTACTTCCTGCCTTATTCAGACAGCCCCTCTTCGCCTGATCCAGCCCAGACTCACCATGTGATCCTACCCTTTAAAGGCAGAGCTCCTTGCTTGACTGGAGAGCAATGAGGACACCAAGTGGCTCTGAAAATAAGCAAGGATTGAAATGTGCACCCCTGAATTCTCCAGCCACAAAATCCTTTGCAAGGGTATTTTTTAGCCTGCAAAAACGTACTAGGCAGTGAGTCAATGAAGCTGAAAGAAGTTCTCAATGTGCCTAAAGTTAAGCTTCATTTTCAGGATCCGCACCACAAATAGCTTACACCTCGAGCTAGTGCCAGGCTGTCCTTTGGTTTAACTTGATTAATTTTGTGCAGCCTCAAGCATGCTGCTGCTGCTCAAGAAGAAGGAAAGTAGCAAAAGAAAAGGAAAACACTTGCAATTTAGACGGTTTGAGGCTGCCACCAGGGAACGAGCGCTGTGAATGAAAGCGAAGGGGGGGAAACGATGAGTGTATGTGAAATGAGATGGTTTCTAGAGTGAATTCCAGTAGAAGGAAAAGCTGGTATTTATTTATTTTTTTAAATCTAAGACTAAATAAATACCAGCAGTTTCTCTGTTTTTTTAAAGACAGGAGTAAAGAATACAATATGTAAGAAAAGTGTAGTCTTGTTCTCAGTGGTGGCCAAGGAGCAGTGGTCTGACATTGCAGCAAGGGCGGTTTAGGTTGGATATTAGGAAATACTCTCTCACTGGGAGGGTGATGGTGATGAAGCACTGGAGCGGGTCACTTAGACAGATGGTGCAGTCTCCATCCTTGGAGGTTTTCAAAACCCAGCTTGACAAAGCCTTGGCTGGGATGATGTACTTGGGGCTGGTCCTGCTCGGAGCAGGGGTTGGACTAGACGTGACCTCCCGAGGTCCCTCCAGCTCTCACGTTCTGTGATACAGTGATTATATTGGGTAGGTTTTCTCCAGTGTCCTTCTTCGGAGCCCCTGCATGGTCTGCTTTATTCTCACACCGCTGCAAAATACTGACTCTAGTTGGAAATAATCAGCGTCTTTCCTGCTGCAGTGAAGAGCGAGACCAGAGGCTAATCAGCAGCGATCCCGGTTTTCTCCGATTAAAAAAAAATTTTTTTAAATCCCCATTTTTCAGTTAAATCACAGAAAAATGTGGATTTTTAAAATGAAACCTCATTAATATATAGGTATATACTAGTGATGTTTCATCTTAATCATGGAAAAACATGGATTTGGGATTACTTTAACTGAAAATTGGGGATATCCAGAGAAAACCAGGATCCCTAATAGTCAGCAAAGGCCGACCACAATGTCTCCTACACAGGATGCTCTTGTACGAAACTCTTACGATCTCCAGCGCCGATTAGACTCTTTGGGGGAAAATCAGGGGGAGAAAAAAGAAACAAACCCCCACGTAGGAAGCAGATTCAGGCAAAAACTGAATTTTGTCTTTCAAACCTAGAAGGGAAAAAAAAGGGGGGCAAATAAATATTGCTTTATTCGAGATCAATATTGCTATATATGCTAATAAATATTGCTTTATTCGAGATCCTTAATCCTGTCTGATCACAGGCTGCAGCGACTGGCAGCCAAGCCCTGGGCTGCTTGCTTTTCTGCCCCTCCCGCAACAGCCTTGAGAAACAGGGTCAATGAGGCCTGAGCCCCAGCAAGGGCATGAGGCGCTGCTGGCCCTTTAAGGCGGCCCGCCATGCTGCCCCTCCGTGGCCGCCCTTGAGACGCCCCCCGCCATGCTGCCCCTCCGTCAGAAAATGGCGGCTCCCATGGGAGCTTCACCAGCGCCGGCCCCGCCCACGTGACCGCGCAGCAAGCCCGCCGCCTCCTTAGGCCCGCCCCGTCAAGCGCCCGCCGGGCTCCTATTGGCGGCAGCCGGCAGCCCGCGCCCCGCACCCCAACATGGCGGACAAGGAAGGTACGTGCGGCCGGGAGTGGGACCTCCCCGGCCCTGCCGGAGCAAGCAGCCCCTGGGCCTCCCTTCTCTTCCTGTCCGGCTCCTCCGGGGGAGCCTTCAAAGAGGCATTTTCCCCCCCTTTAATTAGCATGTGTTGCATAATTTTCCTTTAATTTGCATATTTGGCATCATTGGCCCTTCATCTGCACAGCAAAGCCCCCAATTCTGGTTCTTGGGGGGGACTGAAATGCTTCCCCAGGTCTGTGCGTGGGGGGGCCTTGGTAATGGGCCTGCGAGGGCCACGGAGGGCGGGAGGGAGGGAGGGAAGGTGCACCCCGGCGGTGGGTGGGTTTGTTTGGCAGCTATGGCAAAGTGACGGGGCCGCACGGGTAGGGTGCTAGCTGGACCCGCCGTTGAAATGAACACGTTCTTTTTTCCTCCCCTTGGCGACGTGCAGCAGCCTTCGACGATGCGGTGGAGGAGCGGGTGATCAACGAGGAGTACAAGATCTGGAAGAAGAACACGCCCTTCCTCTACGACCTGGTGATGACCCACGCGCTCGAGTGGCCCAGCTTGACTGCCCAGTGGCTTCCTGATGTAACGAGGTGAGTCGAGCCTCCTGGTTGTTCGTGTAAGTGGGACTGAAGGACGCTTTCACTGTCACGTATGGGAGGGAGTGGGTTGCTGCTGGCCGTGATCAGCTCTTTGGCGACAGTAGGTTGAGGACTGTTGTGCTGGCACCAGGCAGCACCTCTGCTCCCCCTCTTTGATTCAGAAATAGCTGCTGACTGGCAGCAAATGTTTCGGGCCGTGTTCAACCTGTAACGAAGTGATGTTTTCTTCTTTACCCTCCGTTGATGAAGTTGCAAAATGAACGTACGCAGCATTTCGGTATTGTTCAAAACCCTTCTGCTGTGCAGCACAACTGTTCTTTCCCCGGGTCCCTGACATGATGCATTTTTCCACCTGTCGCTTGCAGAAAATGCTAATATGTCTCAAGGGATTACTCATGGGAGTACTAGTGGGAGAGTCCTGCAGGGAGAAGAGGGCTTGTGTTGTGGGGATGTCAGATGCATATTTCCTTGCTGCTATCTGTCTAAGGTTGGACGGGTATTTTTGTTTGGGATAGCAGCAAGGAAATAGGTATCTGATATCCGTCTAGGGTTGGACTGGGGTGACTTTGTTTGGAAGATTTGATATTGGAGTAAGAGGGCATGGTCATTGCTAAAAGATATATTATAATTTTTATTTTATTTTATTTTATTTATTTATTTTTATTTTTTTTTGGAGGTTTAATTTCCAGGTCCAGGTTTGTTCCTGTGAGCCAACTATATCTAGTTAACTCCCTTTCATTTCCCCTCCTGTAATCCTATTTTGTTGTAGACCCGAAGGCAAAGATTTCAGTATTCACCGGCTAGTCCTGGGGACACATACTTCAGACGAGCAAAATCATCTTGTGATAGCCAGCGTGCAGCTGCCCAATGACGATGCACAGTTTGATGCTTCACATTATGATAGCGAGAAAGGAGGTAAGAGTCTCGGATGATCAGCAAGTGGAGTTCCAAACTTTTTTTTCCCCACTGGACATAATGACTTTTTTAAATTTGGAGTTAATAGATTATTAAATAATATGGAACTTTTACCCTATGAAGTGATCAGGAAAGGTTACAACTTTTCCTCCTTTCTTCTTGGATCTGTGCACTGTACTGTAATCTTCCATATGCCATGCTGAATTAAACTACTTTTTGCTTTTATAACATTTTGAAGAGGAGGGGTAGGACTTATTGGAAGATTGTGCAATAGAAATTATTTTAATTATTTCTCATTGTGACTGCATAAAGTATTCTTTATGATAGTAGCTTTCATAATTTGATAAAAGAGGCTTTCTGCCATCCCTTAGAGGGTGTACAATTTCAGGTGTTCTTTTTAGCTTGAATTCTGCTGACTAGTAGACGTGCCAGCCCCTCCAGAATAAAAGGATGATTGTATTTTGCTCAGTTAAATGCCATAATAGCATGGGATCCAAACCAAATATATCAGTAACCTTCCTAGGCAGCCAGCATTCCTACCTATTAGCCATATCTTATTCTAGTTGGGTTAATGATTTCTTCCACGTTATACAACTTTTCCAGTTCAGTTGTCTCGTTTCCTTGTTTGCCAGGAGCCAAGGTTGTGCAATTGATACCTTGATTGTTGGACTTGCTAGTACTGCTTGTAAACAAGATTCTGTCTAAAATACTTCATTTCAGGATTTCTGTTTCCTAGAAATATCAAATTTTAGTACCACTACTTCTTTTCTTTTGTTGTTGTCTTCAATTCCTTTTTGTTTTTTCAGAGTGAGTATTAAAGTACAGTATATTAAAAAGTTTTGCAATATTACTTGTGATCATAAGGCTGTAGATATCTCTTCCTTTTATTCTGTTTATTTTTTGAAATCTGCTTGTGATCCTGAAAATAGGTTTAGTTTTGACTTGGATGTATATGATTAAAAGTGTGTGTGTGATAGAGAGAGATTCCTGTATAAAGTGTGTAAGTGGGGGTCTCTCTCGGGGCAGGTGCTGACAAATACTTGCTCTCCAATTCACAGTACAAATGTTAAATATAGCTTTGGCAAATCTGTCGAGGAATTTCAGTCACTTATCTGATTTTTTTTTTCTTTTCTTTTTTTATAATGGCTTTACGGCTACTTTATTTTTCCGTACAAGGCGGTTTGCTCTATTGAATTGAATAGCAGATTGGAAGCCAGGTGCTCTTGACAATGAGGGATAGTGCTGTGGCCTTGAGCAATGCTGTCTTTCTACCTCAGTTTTCTCATGTTTTTAAAACTAATAGTTTTTATCTTTTTAAATACTTGATCAGCTATAATTTTTCTGGCTCCTAAGTTTTTGGCAAAGCATATTTTTTTCAGACTGTCTTACAGGGGATGTAAACTTTTTATTAATATTTCTTGAAGTATGCCCATCACTAAAGGGAGCCTTGGCACTTTACTGTGAATTCTGTTTTGGAGACTTTAGGCAAAAAGTTATGGATTTAAGAATTTTTCTGAAAGATTCAGCTCCTGTGTTTATGGACCAGATTCCACTGCGGTTTCATTATATTTCTCTTCCATTTTTTTTTAAATCTGTGAATCCCAGTTTTAGAATTGGTAAACTGACCTCCACACTATGGAAGAGAGGGTAGAGATTCTGTTACTCTGACAGTTCTCACTTCCTTTGTCTGCTTAAACAATGGTGGCAGTTCATGTTATCTTTCTTAGATGGATTTGCCTGTCAAATTGTACAAGGTTCTAGATCTTCCTTTTGGAGTCATGAGGGTAGGCTGAAGACTGGAGCTTATATCTCTGCATATGTAGGCTATTGCAGCCCCAGACCTTAATAGGAACATGATGCGTGGTTTAACATGGTTTTAACCACATGTCAGTCAGCATACAGCTGTTTGCAGACAGACAGATGCAAGTTTGATAGCCCCAAGGGAGCCTTTCATTGGTAAAACATCTGTCATTAGGTTTTTATCAGAAACAGTCGTCAAACTTTTCAGTAATGAGCTCTTAGGTGTGATCTGGAAATGTGTTAAAAACCAGCAGTGCTCGCGTAGTAACTGCAACTCGTATTAAAATTAAAACCTTGAAAATCAGTTTTGCTTGGCTTTTTATTTTTCTTTATGCCTTGTCAATAGACTCTTTGCTCTGTGACTGTGTGGATACTTCTTTGGCTTTGCTGAATCCTTTGTATGATTTGAACGATATGTACAGCTCACCATTAACATACATCTATCCTTTATTTCCAGAGTTTGGAGGCTTTGGCTCTGTTAGTGGGAAGATTGAGATTGAAATCAAGATCAACCATGAAGGAGAAGTGAACAGAGCACGTTACATGCCCCAAAATCCATGTATCATTGCTACAAAGACTCCATCCAGCGATGTCCTGGTCTTTGACTACACCAAGCACCCTTCTAAACCAGGTGTCTGTATCTATGTAACTTGAAGATTGGGCACAGAACCTCAAATACAGTTTGAACAGAAACTCAGAGTCTTTTCGGGGCGGGGGAAAGGCTGACACTGTTCTGTGGCAGTTGAAGGGCTTTTGTGGGTTACGTGTCATTTTTAATTTTAGAATAAAATGGTCGCTTTCCAAGGTGCTTAAAAAGGGAAATACATTTCCAGATCTTTAAAACACACGCTTCCATTGGCCTTCTCACTGCATGTTCTGCTGTAGCTCTGCTTATTATCTATTTTTTTAAAGTTGAATATCCTGTGATGGTCACCATTTGCTGTTGCTCATTTATTGTAGCACTACAATGCTACTTTCTTTGGAATGGTGGAAGAGGCTCACTAGCCAGCGGAGAGCTATTTCATCTGTTTGCTGGCTAAACCGCTGTCCCTTTTTTGTTGTAAAATAACTAGAAAAAACCTTCAGGGACCTGGCTTAGTCTTTGGTGGGGTGTGAACCTAAGATAGTCTCCAAGTTTCAGAGTGAGACTGGAACCCAGATGTAGAAATATATCTAAAAATGACGAATATATCTTTGTACAATTAAGGAGAATTCTTAAAGTAGTGACCAAGGTGGTGTTTTCATCACCTAGTTTTTGACAAAGATTAAAGATAGTAAGAATCCTTTTGCTTATATAACATGTAGCAAGTGGAACTGAGCCCCTTAGTATTACTGAAATATTCAGTGGGTGAGCTAGTGTCTGTATTAAGCATTTGAAAACCATCATCAGTAGCATTTTGCTTAATCTTGTAAACTCTCGTCTCTCAGTGGGATGATTCTGTTACTGGAGGAAGTCAAATCTACAGTTTTTGTCAAGCACTTACACCGGCAGAGTTGTTTGGAACCTAAGTTTACTGAAACTCTCTTTGCAGACCCTTCTGGTGAGTGTAATCCTGACTTGCGTCTTCGTGGACACCAGAAGGAAGGCTATGGGCTGTCATGGAACCCAAATCTCAGTGGACATTTGCTTAGTGCTTCTGATGATCATGTGAGTACAGCAAATAAAATTGGTATGTCAGCTGTACGTTAGTTGCAGATCTTGATCAACTATTACACTTGGGGGGTGGGCTATTGCGGCCGGGGGGGGGTGAAGAGTTCATCTATCTTAAAGATACCCCTTTTCTCTAAGACCATCTGCTTGTGGGATATTAGTGCTGTTCCAAAGGAAGGCAAAGTGGTGGATGCAAAGACCATCTTTACTGGACATACAGCAGTAGTGGAAGATGTATCTTGGCACCTGCTCCATGAATCTCTCTTTGGATCTGTTGCTGATGATCAGAAGCTCATGATGTAAGTGAGAGCATTACCCAGGAATGTTTCTGTTTTGAAATGAAAGAAACTTCCCTCCTCCAACTGCATGTTTTCTCTCTCTCTAGCTGGGACACCCGGTCAAACAATACCTCCAAGCCCAGTCATTCAGTGGATGCTCACACGGCTGAAGTGAACTGCCTGTCTTTCAATCCCTATAGCGAGTTTATTTTGGCCACAGGATCAGCTGATAAGGTAGGCCTGACTTGAGATTAGGGACTGTCATCTGTCCCAAACTTGTTTCCACTTTGGAAAGCAAATATTAGTTAACTTCGATGAAAGTGTTTCTTGAATTTCTCTCTTGTCTTCCTGAACAGACTGTTGCTTTATGGGATCTGAGAAACCTGAAACTGAAGCTCCACTCATTTGAATCGCACAAAGATGAAATATTTCAGGTACAGTAAACTGGCATCTTTATAAATATCTTCATTTCTTTCCCAGTCAGAGCTGCAGGTTTGTCAGCAACTTGAAAAACTTAGAAATAGCCTTTTATTTTTCTTTCTTTTCCTTGTTACTCAACATTTAATGCAAGTATGCCATGTTCTTTAGCTGTTCTGTGTCTGAAGACATCCTTGGCTATGGGAAAGCTACCAAACACATAAGGTTGCTTATAAAAGTGATGGACTGCATGGAACAGGACAGATGAAAGATCACTTCAGTGGCTGTACCTAGAAGTGAAAACAATCAGCCAAATTATATATGGCAGTAAATGGAAGCAGGGAACTTGCTGAGATGCCTGTAGCATCTTCATCTCCTGGAGGAAGACTTATAGCTGCATAGAATACAAACTGGGTACCAATAATATGGGTCTTCCAGGCTAGCTAGACACAAGGAACAATTGTGAAAGTAGACATCTCTTAATAAAAAACTAAGCAAGTTTTGGTACAAGAAGAGCTGGCAAATGAGTGTTATCAGAGTAGCACAAATGTGATTTGAAAGAACATGTAGAACTTTCTAAATAAGGCAATAGTTTACATTCTTTTTAGAGAGGGTTATTTTTAGAGCTGTTTCACACTATTTCTACAAAGTATTGGCAGAATTGTATTCAGAGCCCTAGATATTTTTTTTTTCCCCCCCCTGAATCTTTCTGCTCTGTTGAGCAGTGTTCCTAGGAGTATTCTTTCTGAGTGGAGGTAGTAACTATTTTTAACTTGGATAAGCAGAATTGTGGGATTCCTTTGTCTTTCCCCTGTTCAGCTTATTTTGCTCCATGTAAGTTAGCTTCCTGTTTCAAAGGAATGAATGGTTTGCATTTGGATAACTCACCATTGTAGATGTCATAGCAAGTAGTGTTCTTGGAAGATTTGGACCTGTTCTTCAAGCATCCCATATGAAAAGATTTCATGTTGTACATCATTAATGCTTTGAAACCCAAAGGCAGCAGTATTCATAAACCAGTTTCTCCCTTTGAAGCATTTTCAATGGGAATATGTGAACTAATGAGTTTTCCAGTATCAAATTGCAAGTATATTTTCTCTACAGTTAGGACAGAGATCCTATTATTTTTTGTCTCATGTCACTGCTTTAAGATTCACCTCTCTTTCTCATTTGTTTCTTGCAGGTGCAGTGGTCTCCCCACAATGAAACCATTTTGGCTTCCAGTGGTACTGACCGTAGGCTAAACGTCTGGGACTTAAGGTAAATCCTAAACTGATAGTGTTGTGTGATCTGCTGCTGGTGTGGTGTGTATTTTCCTAAGAATTGATTTTTTTTTTTTTTTTGTGTGTGTGGGTGCATGTTCTGCGAAATATCTGTTTCAATTTTGTCCTTGTTTCTACTACAGTAAAATTGGAGAAGAGCAGTCTCCTGAGGATGCAGAGGATGGCCCACCAGAGCTCTTGGTAAGAGGGAGGAGGGGTTGTTGTGGTGTCTGCTTCTTCTCCCAACTCCTATTACAGCAGAACCCAGGTTATTTGTATCTAGGTGGCATGCAGTGTGCGCAGATTAAGGGCAAGTTGTTTTGCAGCTGGTTGTGACTTCAAGGGATGCTGGTTCTGAAGGGGTACTGGCTGATTGGAGAAGTGGTGTCTTTGAAATAAAGGCCACAGCAAACAGCTGGAGCACCTCATTGGTAGTGCATAGCTCTTTTGCTGCAATTTTATATGCTCCTGGTTACTCTGCACTCGTCTTCATGAGGTCATAAGGAACTTAACCCTCCAAAGTACCCAGATTGTAGTACTGGTTCTAACGTATTTCACTTCCACCCTGAATACCTTATTTTATTTTCTGTTCCAATACCAGTTTATTCATGGTGGTCACACTGCAAAGATATCTGATTTCTCCTGGAATCCCAATGAACCCTGGGTAATTTGTTCTGTATCAGAAGACAATATCATGCAAGTCTGGCAAATGGTGAGTAGCATTGATTGGGAGGAAGTGTCTGTCAATGTGAGAAGGGATAGATCTAAGATGGAGTTCTGATTTTTAGTCTGTTCAACACTGACTTCTATTCACTGCTCTCAAACAGACTTGCTGTATAGCTTTGGCTGAGTCTCAAAGGAACACTGAAGCCTGCTTAAGCTTAGTAGAAGTGAGGGTTTACAAATGTAAGAAACTTTCTCGTGTCTCATGTAACATCAGAAAAGTGTGTTTTGGAAAAGGTATAAATATAAATGTTCCCTCTGGTATTTGTAATCCAAGCTGTGTATGAGCTGGGGTGTGAAGCTGGCTGTTCCACTTCTACTGTTCAAAATGAGGAGTATCTACAAGCCAGAAGAAACCATAAGTAGGGGAGGGGTGAAGCAGAGAAACAAATGACCTGATTTCTCATTTGATGGAAGGAGAAAGAAAGGAAACTCATGCATCTAAGTGACTTATAACCTAGGAGTCCCCGTTAACTGTATCTTTCTATAAACTTGATCAAACATCCAGTTCACAAAGCCTTGTATGTGTCTTCATGTTGATAAAATGGATAGGTCGCCTGCAAGGCACTGCCAAGGAGCAGCGTGCATATAGAAAAGACGTCTTTGTATAAGTTTAAAATACATTGGAACTGACACAGTGATCTCTATCATTAAACAGGCATTTCCCTAACAGAATAAATATGTAAACTACAGTTCTGTTGTTAATGAGCTTCTTTTTAAGGAAATACTTTGAAAACATGACCATTATGAAAAGGTTCAGTTGTATTTATAGTTCTTTCTGTAAATATTAAATGGCCTTGAAGGATCAAGCGTAGGAGTATTGGTATCTCAAGCTGAGAAACTTGTAGGACTATAGCCTTTGTGTGTGTTCTCCTGGATGGAATCCCTTTAGCCTAAATGTCATATTAAACACTCTCCTATTTCCCCCATCCCCTCTATCTTGTAGGCTGAGAACATATATAATGATGAAGACCCTGAAGGAAGTGTGGATCCAGAAGGTCAAGGGTCCTAGATGGTTGAGCTTTTACTGGGTGTTTTTTTTAGTCCTTTCCTTCTCTTCCCTCCCAACTCTGACTACACACACACACGCACGCACACATGCTCTGTTCAGTCATCCTACATCAATAGTGCTTTTGAGCCAGACAACAAGTACTCTGCATACAGGGGTGTGGCTCTGTTGAGGTGGTACAGTGTTGAAGCTTCTTGTTTTAAATTTTGTACAGCAGTCTTTCATGTACAGAGCTGGGTACCCCACTTTAGTTGCCCTCATGATATGGAGCAGACTTGCTTTTTTCCTGTTTTTAAATGCTACAGCTGAAGGTTTTCTGGCCAATTTTAAACAAAAGGTAGAGGGGTAGAGCCCACAGTGTGTGCTCGAGCCAGTGCAGTACAGATATTGCAGAGGGTATTAATTTGCGGCTACTTGCAGGCGGAGAGTAGAGTCTGTCTTGCTAAGACTGGAAATTATTGGCATTTCTTTTCACTTCATATTTGTATTTCCTGATGCAAATAAATCCATAAAAGACAGACTCATGAAGACTTTTACTTCAGCTGGAATTAGAAATATGTCTGTAAACGTCCTCTTTCCTGGTAATTCTGAGTTTCATTTTTTCCTCCCTATCTCTTTCTTCTTTCTCCCTTTTGATAAAGTCACAAGAGTTTGGATACTCTAGCTATGCCTGCAGAGAGCATTTTTCATCTTCCACATATGCTCTATTGTGTGTTTCTTGAGCTGTGTTTCCCTATGATTTCTTTCCTTTCTGTGAAATGGTTTTTAAAACTTGGGACCACCAAGTTGTAAAGGTGTATGTCTTTACCTGACTGATGTACCACAGATGGCATGCCCAGTAATCTAAAACAGAGCATTGGTAGCTGGTATTTGTAAAACTATATAATAAATGTGGATAAGCTACTTTTTTTAGGAGTTAGTCTTGACCACTAGTTTCTGCACATCTTCCACTAGGGTGATCCGTTCCACCAGCAGCCTGTTACTCTCCATGATTAATTATGTGTATGTGCTCCAGATGGAATAAATTGTTTTTCTACAGACATGTTACAGTGCTTTGTGATTTTTTTTTTTTTTTTTTTTTTAAATGCAGATAATTATCTTGTCGAATAATTACTTTATTGTGGCAACCTTGTGCTTCTTAAAGCAGAGATGTGTGGAAGCCTGGAAACCTTAATGCCTCCTAGGAATATATTATGAGGTCTAAGTAGTAGATATTGGTATGGAGAAAGCAGGGCTTTGGTTTCTTGCATCCACATGTTGATAATGATGTCAGCTGGCAGCTTCTCTGCTCACAACAGGGAATCTATGCTGTTTCCTGTGCAAGTGGGTAGGGGAAGTTGAGAAGGCTGAAGGGAGAAAGGAGGCTGTCCTGTGCCTGCTCCCTCTGGTATATATTATAGTGTCACCCATAATTTAGTCTTAAATTCTTATGAACAAATCCTCTCAAACACTTCTGATGCTCTGGTAGCCGTGGCTGTGCTTCGGTGCATCTGAAACCCACGCGTCTTTGGATTTCTTTAAGACTGCTAGCTTTGACTGCTTTTTATTTTGTGTTGAGAGAATACTTAATCTCCAACCAGTCATAAGTGGGCCAGAGAGGGTCTGAAAAAATATGGTGGTGTAGGGCCTGTATCTTTCCAGTGAACTCTTCAGTTAGTCACAGTCAGCAAGGGTTTTTAAATGGGCTATCCAGTCTACAAATATCAATAAGAAGCTTTAAAAAAATCTTTTACTGCTCTTTAGATGGGTGACCAGATTGCTTTTTCTATTTTCTCCATGGTGTTGAGCATGCTTGGGGAAATAAAAGAAGCCTTAAACCCTGAGCCTTTATTTATTTATTTTTTTTCAAGGTGAATTTTTTTTTTTTTAATATATAAAGTGGAAACCATTTATACAGGAGTTCAGTTTCTGTGGCCCATACTGGAATATGTCACAACATAGCAGAGACCCTTTGAATTACAAAAGAAACAATCCTGTTTAAAAGGACAGTGTTTTGCACAAACAAAAAAAATCATACCATAGGCTTCCAGGATACTTTCTATGCAGACTTATACAATCCACTTATGGAACAAGACAAGATTAGCTTTCCAAACACAGAGCAAAACATACATCTTTTTGCTCTTTTACATATGTTCATTATTCAGTGCAAGTAATACCTCTCTCCTTCACTATTTTCTACTAAACTAGAAGAGCAACAGAGCAGCACCTCAAGAAATATAACCAAGCAAATGATTGTCTAGTAATCCTGACAGCAGCCGCTATACATCGTTAGGGTTAGTGTGAGCAGCAAGAGTGAATTGGAAGTATCCTCTACAGTTATCTTGCTGTCACATTTCTTTTCAGCAGAAAGAAGTGGGGGAAAGTCCACACCTCTAGAAGTCTTGGTCTGCTTTTTCTTCTGACTTGCAAAACTGTCCATAGATTTCTAAGCAGCCCCTGTGTGGGTGGAAAGTAAATTGCCAAGTGAGTGCACAATAGTCTGGAGCAGGAGTGTCAAACTCACCCTGGGCCAGATATGGATTTCAGGGCTCCTCCCATGCTGGATCCACAGGGCCAGGAGCTGCAATGGAGGTAGTGGCAGGCTATCAGCACAGTCCTTGCTCATCCCTTGCTGATAGTCATGTCTGTCAGGTTCCAGGGGCCCTAAGTTCTGTAGTAGGCCCTCCCCCTCCCCAACTCCCAAGACTTCCACTAGCCTGTCAGTTCGGACACAACTGCTCTGTGAGCTGGATCCGGCCCATGGGCTGTATCTTTGACACCCCAGGAGAATTTGAGTTACAGTTCAAGCCTCCAGTACCCCTCTACCACCGATCGTTCGGCTGTAAGGCATAGAAAAATAGCATTGGTTAGCATCAAAGCTAAATATGTAGTTTGAGCTTGCATCCAGAATCTTGACCTGCCTTAGCACAAAGCTTGACAAAACGAGGAACTGTAGCTCTAGAAGGGAGAAGGAAATGGAGTGTATGGTGCAAGCTACAGGAATGTATGAAATGCTGTTTAGTGGGTCAGACCATAGGTGTCTCTAGCTCAGCATGCTGTCTCATACAGTGGCCATGTAGATGCTTAGACCCGGGTGGGAGGGTAAATGGGGTATGTCCAGAATCTTCCACTCGCTGCTTTTCCCCCAGTGCAACTACCAGCAATCAGTTTTAGAACATTCAGATTTCAAGACTGCACCCCTTTTACCATGTTCAGTACCCACTGATGGACCTTTCCTCCAAGAATGTGTTCAGTCCTTTTTCTGAACTTGGTTAAGCTATCAGTTGCCACAATCTTTTGTGGTAGTGATTCAACAAGGCAATTGCACGCTATGTGGAAAATGGGAGTGTAAGTATACATCTAAACAGCACCATGCAGGGATGCATGCAATTCCTGCACTAGTTCTGGTACTGGGAACAGCATAGTTCTGCTAATGTGGTTCTCTCAAGTTGAGCCGAAGTGAACTAGTCCCGACATGGCTGTCTACACTTGTGGTTAAGCAAAGTCACTTACTGTAGTGTAGGATAGTACCTGTTTATGACAGCACTATCCTACGCTGGAGTACGTGAATCTACTGCGGACTAATTGTAGCATATGTGTAGACAGTGATGCTTTACTGTGCATTAAATTAATGCACAGGAAAGCAGGTATAGACATGCCCTTCCTGGGCTAACTTAAGGAGCCTAGCCAACTCATGTATTTTTACACCGACATAAGGCCTCCTGTGTGCAGATAATGACGTGGGACTTTGGTGGCAGGGTCACTTTCTGCAATTTTTCCCCATGTTGCTGTGGGACAAGGGCCAGCTGCCTGTGCTTTCCTCATGCTGCTGGGGAGATGAGTGTTGATGGCAGAGTCCTAGCACCTGTCTGGCCCCTTCTGACACGGTGGGTCATTCTGGTCTGCAGTGTGAAAAGGTTGCCTACCCATGCTTTAGATGATGATTCTTAAGAATGAATGCCTACATTTAGACTTGTTTAGATCGCTTTGACATGGATTTAGATGTTTAAATTTCAGAGGAGTTAAATACCTAAGCTATCATCAATTTAAGTCCCTTTTGTAGGTACCCAGGACTTCTGATAAGTGATATCCTAGAGATCATAGAGAAGCAGGGCTGGAAGGACCTCGAGAGGTTATCTAGTCCAACCCTCTTCCTGAGGCAGGAAAGGTCTTGTGATTCTTATTTAAGTATAAACATGGATTAGGGAGCCTAATCTTCAGTGCCAATGTCAAAAGTTTTGTCTTTCTGAGACTTAGAATAAGGTAGAATATTTTTAACAACCTATAGTCCTTGCTACTGATCCCAGATCGTGTGGCCCAGGAGGCCATTTCCTGCCCTATCTATGTTCCTGTGATATATATTCAGTAGTCTGCATGCTGCCATCTTTATTGGAAATCTTGGGAAAGAGCCTAGAGTTTAACATGAGCTGGGAGGCTGAATTCCTCTACCTTAACAAAGGGCAAAGCTGCCTACTGCCTCTCCTTCAGACTTATTCTAGAAGGAAGCATTGTATTTGTATGTGCTTGCATGGGTGGTAGGGAGTATTTTCTTGTGATGTTCAAACAGACAAAATACTGTGCTCTTAAGTGGCAAGGGAGAGAGACCGTTGCGGAAGAGGAATGTTACGTTAAAAGGGGAAGTTGCCAAAAATGAAGAGACTGCTAGGGTCTGCATGCCTAAGAAAAAGGGGTAATGTGCCTTGCAAAGCAAACTACAGGAAGTGAAACAGAGGGTAGTACTACAGCTGTCTTTTGAAAATCCTCTGAGAGCGTTCCCATGTTAGGAAGAGGAAACCTGAGTAATAGCCATAGGAGTATTACAGATAAAGGGGGGGGGGGTTTCTTCCCCCTGTTCAAGGGAACACATACAGATTTCCAAAACTCTTAAAAGACTGTTTCTTTTCAGGAAATGAGTGCTACCACCTCAGGGCTGCTGTGTGTTGCTACAGGTCTACCTAAGATTGACATGTGCTCCCCATCCTTTTCACTGGGAACGGCCAGCCTGTTCCATTCTTCCTCGGCCGATGGCATTTTGCTCTAGTTCCATTAAAGCAGCATTGATTTAGAGGGCACTGAGCTATGATGAAATTATCCCTTTCTGTTTGTTTGTCTGATTCCTATTTATTCAGGAACCAGGAGCCTCAGATTCTTAGTAAGTAACTAGGGCTGCCCTTTAAAAAACACATAACAGCTACTCCATGTTGCAACCTCGGTCAGTTTTCCATCGTGCTTTTTTTGGTTTCTTGCCCTACAGTTCTCTCACCAACAAAGTAAAGAGAAGATAACTACTTGTAAACGGAGAGCTCCTGGTGCAGGCTTGTCCTCAGCTCTTCCAATTCCTGGTTTTTGCGTTGCTGAAGTTGGACCCCATTCTTCAGTTCCCTCAGCCTCTCTTCCAGCTCTTCTACCTGTTCCTGTGGGGCCAGAAATAAGTAAATACATGAAATAAAGTGATGTGCAAACCTGAAACCAGCTTTCTGGAGGAAGAAGCATCTTGTTGGGGTCGTCTGATCCCAGCAGTCTTTCCTGCCCAAGTGCAGGGGGGCTGGACCCAATGACCTGTAAGGTTTCTTGCAGCCCCTAACAACTATGAAGGCTGAGCTGTTCACCTCTGATCAATGTTAGCTTTGGCTGTGTGTGTGGATATGTCCTATTCGCAGCTGTCACTATAGTGGGTCTGCCCGTGTACACTCGGGATGTACATCAGAGCAGCTGAGTTGATGATTGGACAACTTTAGGCAAGTTTTAAGCCTGAGTTTTAAGTATTTTCAGCAGGCTCATCTGTATTTGTCTCACTCTTTTTGTTTTCAGTCCCAAAAGCTTGTGTTGCCTTTTGGACAATTTGTGACTGCTTTAGAGAGTTCTTTTAACCACTGCGTGGGCCTAAAACTGACAGGAGGCAAGCATAGTAAACTGGTTAATCCAGCTGTGTGATAATTTGCCACTATGGTTTAATTTGCTGCTGTTCAGATTCCAAATCCCCTTCAGTCATCTTCCCCCCAACCCTGTTATCAGCTCCTGGTAATTGGTTGCTATTGGATAATTTGCCACTATTTGCATTCCTAGAGCTTACTGTAGGAAATCTATAGGGAGGTTATGCTCCAAGTTCTTGTTTGAGCAGGAATCGAGGGAGGAGGAGGAGAAAAATCTCTTCTAAGTTGATTTTACCAAGGCCTGTTCTTTAAAGCTGCGAATGGAAATAGAAATCTAAAATGAGTAGTTGGTGTAAGGCCATAAGGTGACATGGATAAAGATAACTTAAACCTATCACCTAGGCCACACAGCATCTGCTTCCTTCATGCATGCATATGGGAACATACCAAACGGTTTTCAGCATGGAGCACTGAGAGGGTAGGGAAAATCCAAGTCTACTTTTAGTAGTTGCTAACTTCCTTGGTTTGCTGAAGCCTAGAAAGTGAAGGGTGTAGAGGGCAGAGAGGCAGGGATAAATGAATTCTGGAACATTTTTTCCCAATGTTCTTTGCAGATACGTAATTGCTTTCTTCTCTCCCTAGAAAATGGAGGGGAGGGGTGGGCAAGACATTTAACTTTTGGCATGTTTCTTACAGTGTCTATAAATACAGTTATACAGTCTCTTCCAGTTATAAATAACCTGTGTCAAAGGAGGCAGCCCAGCGTCAGGGTTGCTGCTGCAGGAAGGTCTGGACTGCTGGAGATGTACACGGGTCCTTGCCTGCTGATGAGGTAACTCGTAGAAGTCAGCCAGGCAGTGATTTCATTAAGAAGTGGCTGCATCAGGGCACAGCAAAAACCTTTCCTTTTTAAAGGGACAGCATCTTAATTCCGTAATGATTTTCCCTGTCCTTTTTTAGGAATCATACCCAGACTCTGATTATCAACAGCTGTTAAGAGAAGCAGCAAACAATACTGAAACTACAACACTGTTATATGCGTTACTAATATATCCTCCTCTGGAATTCTGAATTCAAGTTTGGATTAAAAAGCATGTTATAGAAATGGATTAAAGGAAGAAAGACTTGCCGTAGGAAGAGACATCAAAGTGTTGAACTATTATATTTAGAGAGATGAATTTTGGGAAGCAAAAGAGGCGCAGAGAGGCCAGCCGTGGACTTTTGTCCACTTTGTCAAATCGCAAGAGCAAGAGAAGTAGAAATGAAATCAAGGTCATTTAAAATGGGGAAAAAAAACCTACTTTCATACAACTCATCCTTAAATGAGGCACGAACTGCTGCCAGAAGATAGCATGGCAAAGAGCTTGTGACTCAGAAAAAGAATTTAAACATTTATAGGAATAACAAATGTACCATTATACACACTTTTATCCCAACTTGTATAAGGGAGAAATCATCATGCTTCATATAGTAAGCCAGTGCTTAGCTGCCTCTGCTTATAAAGAAACTCTCTCTTGTTCCCTGAACTGCTTCCATAATGAAAGGGATTGTTATACCTTTCTTTGAAGCTTCTGATGCTGGCCATTGTAGGAGGCAAACTGTAAGACTGGAAGACTCATGAACTGATCCAATACTGTAGTTCCTATGGAATCAGTCATCTCCCTAGGGTGAAAGAGCAGCCAACTTTGAAACCATAGAAAGGAGCTGTAGCTTTTCCTGTCGCCCTCAGCACTTTAGTATTAACAGTGTCTTTGGTTTCGATCCTTCTAATAATGCTCAGCATCCCAGCAGCAGGATGGTTTGTATTGCTCAAACCGGCCATTATCAAGCATCTAACAGTAATTAATGGAACCTCCCATTGCTGTTGCAAAATGATGGACTAGCCTGTGATTTCCAAAGTGTCCTACACTAAAACCTGAAGCTTGCTAAAAACCTGAGAATACCTTGCCCACCCCCCAATGGGAGTGTTTTATCCCAGTGAAAGCCCTGGTATTGCATGAGTGCTGCAATAGGGAGAAGGGCTGTATCCTATCTTAATTAACCTGGGTCTGGCTTTATAAATTGTAAGCAGCACGTAGCACTGTCCTCAGATATAGATGGGATATGTGGAGCATTGGTATCCCTGTGGCAGCTGACCCAGTGGCAGAGAAGCTGCTATGTTCAGCCTGGAGCAAAGCTTCCAGGTGCTTTCCAGGGATATTCCCAGGCAGAAATCTGACAAGGTAACGTGCTACAGCTGAGGGTCTTGGCAGGCTCTTTCTCTCTCTCAGCTTGTGTTTATCACTTGTGGTATCTGAGTGAGTACATATGTTACTATGATGTGCAAAATTTTGTAACCTGACAGGTTGATGTGGGTAGTGATCTATCATGTCACAAGGGTATCCCAGGGCAAGGGGGGAGAGAAAGAGAGCATGGTGGATGGCTCCTTAGCTCTGCCTGGGTGCTCAGCTGTCACTGGGGCTGCAGAGGAAGAATCTCTGGTTCCTATTTGTAGGTACAAATGTTATGTCTGTCCATGGCTCCACATGCCTATAAACTAGGATGTGGGCACTCCCTATGTATGCGTACTAATCCAGATGTGTATGCGTAAGGAAGTGTAAGTACCTGTGCATGAGATGCACAAGAGTATTTTTTCTCATGGTAAATCTAAGTAGATAGAGGGCCAGCTCCTCAGTTGAGATAAACTGTTGTAGCTCCTTTGAGTCAGTAGAGCTTCCCTGCTTTACCCCAAGTGTGGGTCTAGCTTGGTGTATGTAAAGTCACGCAAAGCTCAAGGACCTTACAAATATTGCAGGACCCGGTCATGTCTGCCTGGGGCTTCAGCATCTCTGTATATAAAATGTGATTCACAAGCTATAAAAATCAGCACCTCAGGGGCTGCCATCCTCCACAGGCTGTAAACAGCCTCCTTGCAAGGAACACACATGTTGTAAGCTCGTGCTCTTGTGCTTTCTGCCGCTGGCCTTTGGCTCAAAAGGGGCCCCTCCAACTAGGCTCTGAATGAAGAATATATTACTCCAGAAGCAAATGTTTTTGCTCTGCCTTGTTTCTTCTGCCATACTAACTGGGATCTGGCTCCATTATTTGGTGGTGTAGTATTGAGGCATTTCATGTTCGGAGAGCAAGGTGGTAATGGGTCAGGTCAGAGCCAGGCAAACGTTTCCTTCCACTGTGCTTTGTGGGGAATCCCTAGTGACACCACATTGCATCCCTTTAATTCCTAATCTTTCTGCTTACTCAGTAGCTGCCTCTGCTTTGCCTTCCCTAGGATAGGGGGGAAGAAGACCTCAGCCTCTTCTAGGCTACTACTTATATAAGCCAGTAGGATATGTCTGATTCTTTGCTCCCCCAGTGATTCCCTACTGTCTCTTCCTGTGTGGCTGTTATATCCACTTTTCCACTAGTTGCAAAGTTAGGCTCCCAAGTCTGTGTATAATAAGGAAATACATATAGTGCCAGTCTCAAGTATCTAGACACTGAGTACACAGGGCTGACCGCTTATATGACAGCATCGCAAGCCAGCCTTAACCTGAAGCAGCGTGCAAGCATTTTTACAGGCCCATTGCACGTACCCTGTACTGGAGAACTTCTTCATCCCGTTTCTGCTTGATGAGCAGAATCTGTTCCTCCAGCCTCCTATTCTGCAGGCGCATCTTGCTGGCCTCTCCCTGCAGTGGTCGCAGCACCTCCTTCAGCCCCTGAATTTCTCCCTGCATTTTTTGCAGAGCCTTGGCACTGGCCTCCCTCCTTTCCACCAGGCGCGCAAGCTGTGGCTCCCAGTGTTCCTCCCGGCCCCCGCGGGCTCCCC